ACGTTTTATTTATTTTTGAGACAGAGAGAGACAGAGCATGAACAGGGGAGGGGCAGAGAGAGAGGGAGACACAGAACTGGAAGCAGGCTCCAGGCTCTGAGCCATCAGCCCAGAGCCCGACATGGGGCTCGAACTCACAGAGTGCGAGATCGTGACCTAAGCTGAAGTCGGCCGCTTAACCCACTGAGCCACCCAGGCACCCCTAGTGATACTTTAAACAGAACACAGAGCTGTGGGTTCAGTGGTTTATGACCGCCCCTCCCCCAAAGGAAATGCAGATTTGATCACTGGTTTCTGGAGTGGTCGTTTTCTTTCACGTTTTGGGATTTGCTATGATCACAGCACTAGGTTTGCAGAAATGGATAAAAGGCAATCTTGGCCTTTTAGGTCAGGGGTCAGCATACTTTTTCTATATAAAGGGTCAGGTAGTCAGTATTCTAGGGTCTGCCCTGGTTCCGTCCGTGAGAACCACTCCACTCTCTTTTGCAGACAAAGCAGCCATGTGGTAAACGTAAATGAGCAGGTGTGGCTGTCTTCCAATAAAACTTCCCGGACACTGGGATTGGAGCTGAATATGATTTGCACGTGTCACGAAATCTTGATTTCCCCCCCCCCCTTGAGCATTTAACATGTAAAGACCGCTCTTCGTTTGACTGCCATAGGGAAACAGGTCGAAGACACCTGTCCTAGGAACTCCCACTCAGATGTCTGCAGTGACAGTGCCCATCTGTGGCATCCTGCCACCGGTCAGTTCTGTGTGGCTCACTGTGGGAGCAGGTGAGAACCCGGCCAGAATGGTTCTGTCTCCCTTCTCAGGCAAGGGGAAGAGTATTTGCCGAGGGCTTTTGGAAACCGGGAAGTCTGCAATGCAAAATGACCTGGGAACCCCGAGTTGTAAACTAATTATGTGAAAGTCACTATCTGAACAGAGTCCAGCAGGGCAAAGTCAGAGAATGTGGGTTTTTTTTTTGTTGTTGTTGTTTTTGCTTTTTTAGACATGTTGTTAATATGCTACCATTCAGGGACATTCTGTCCCTCTTAAAATTTGCTTTCTGCTTCAGTTTGCACCTAGTATAAAAAAGTAGAGTTTCGGACTTGGGGAAGCAAACGGTTCAGTGTTTGGCAGAAAAGCAGACTTTTCATCCTTGTCAAACCTTCGAGGTGTACAGGGCAGAACAGGTAGGAGGCTCTGGGCTACTTCAGAGGGTCCTGGCATGTTGATTGGTGGTGACCCATGCTGAGAAAAGTCTGGAACTTCAGTGGCCTCTCTTCCTACTTAGAGTCCTTCTGACACTTTGAATCTGAGTCTCACAACCTGAGGTCAGACCAGGAGTTCGATACTTTGCAGTCTTTGCTACTCAGTTGTATATTTCCTGTGTCTTCCTGTCCCTCTCAGCTAGTGGCTTTTGTGGTCAGGGGTGGGGGG